TAATAATAAATGCTAAAGTGTGAAGGTCTAAATTTGAAACTTCTCATTAAGAATTTTTGCACACACACTAAGTGCTCGTGGACTAAATCTTTTAACAAGTGGTGTGAAGAATAGGATGAGTATTTGCCTTTAAGTGAGTATATAAAAACTCTTGAATGTTTAAGACTTTGTATCAAATTGAACTTTAATTCTTAAATTTTCTTTGCATGCATATCATATAGTTGCATTTTTGCATTGGGATTTTGAGGATAGATCCATTGAAAACCCTTATGAGACACAACTCGTCCACTAGGGTGACCTAGGGTTTTAAAAGCTTGTTGTACATGCTAAATGCAATCATGATTCCTACAAAAGTAAGTTAGGCTTTATTCTCTTTTTGTTTATTTGTTTTTTTTTTATTTATTTTACTCAAAGACGAGTAAACCTTAAGTTTGGAGGAATTTGATGAGCTGAATTTATATATATATTAATGTGAAATTTTTGCTTTGATATTATTGATATTTGGATGTATTTTATAAGATTTTACATGGTTTTCATTTTTTGTACAAAAAAGGACTTGATTGCATAATAATAGGAGTTTTTGGGATTAATTGAACATTTTTTTAAAGTTGAGAGACTTAATTGCAGGAAGAAGGGCGCTTCTTTGGGACCTAAATGAATGAATATCAACTTTTAGATCTAAGTGCTCATCATACAAAATCTGGAGGAACATATCTGCAATTTTACCATTGAAGAAATTGCCAAGGACATAAAAACCAGACACGGTAATGCTGCCGTGCACTGAACAGAAGGTATCGGCACCTTGTTGAAGGTGTTGACCCCTTACGTGATTTTTACAAAATCCATATTTAATTTATTATTATGGTGTGGATCCCACTTCTATTTCAATTAGGGTTACTAAAACCTTATAAATATCCATTTAAATTCAGAATTAAGGGAAACTTTGGGATACTGGTGACAACTCTCTTTTGGATATTATTGAAAATCAAAATAGAAGTTTTATCAACAATAGAAGATTAAAGAGTCTAATTTTCTCAAATTGAATTTTATTTTTCTTTATTTTTTTATCTATTGTTTGATATTCGAATATTCATAATTATGATTTCAAGTTTTATTATTTTTATGATAAATTGATTTAATCAACTAGGATTAAGATGTAGCCTAATCAATTCAATGAGTTTTTATGATTTTTACACTTTTAATATTGTTATTCTATAATGAGTATATATTATTATTCTTAATGTTTTTTAATACTTGATCACCATTAAAACTGATTTGGAGAGTATAATTGAAACTGATAAGAGATTTTATGCAATAACTTCTAATAATATATACCATAAATTGAACGAAAGCCAAAGATGAATCAATGTGATTCGTGCAGTATTAGTGATAAATAAACTTAATTTTTTATGTATACTAAAGAATTTCACAAAATATAATGCATTTTTATCTATTTAAATTCATATAGAGATATAGTGAGTTAATAGATTAAGATAGGTTTGATATAACTTGAGAAAGTATATTGGATATGATAGGAAATCTCGCTGTCACATGAATAGTAATATCTTGAAAGTATAATAATCGAAAATCCATATTAATTGACTATGGTGAAGTTGATGTCTTAATACCTCATATCTTGATTAATTTTATTTTAATTGTTATTTTTTTATTATTTTTAGTTACAGTTTCTTTTTTTTTTTATTGTTCAAATAAATTTAAATTAATTATTTTAGTACTTAATTAATTATAATCGTCATGGGTTCAACACTCTACTTATTATTATATTATTTGAAGCGAATTAGTACACTTGTTAAGGTAATTTTAGCATATCAATATGCATAAGAGTTTATGACCCCAAAAAAATCAGATAATAACCAAGAAGAAGGCATAAAATACGCTGGAAGAATTTATCATGCAGAAAGTATCGCTGAACCATTTATCTTTAACCTTAGCAAATTAATTACATTTTAAGAAATTATATTAACTAGCAAGATAAGTGAGGATTAGCAGGGTAATGACAGAAAATCTAGAGAAAAATGAACAACTGGACTTCCTAGAATGTATTTACCTCCAGCTTTAACAATGTCAACAAGATCGTCCATCAGTATGACTAAAATGGAACGAGGAATGACCCCAACACCCAACACCTGCATACTTTCTTGAATTTTGACTTCCTGATAATCATGGCACACCATAGTATTTGCTCCATTCTGGAAGTTAGTTCCTTGACAAGGTATGGACCTCTGTCATTTTAACGCATTGTGTAAGTGATTTAGGCAGCTAGGACAAATATTTGACAATGTTTGGTAGGAACAGAAAAAGAAAATGTTTTAAGCTAGGAAAATCAGAGGAGGTCAAGCTTCTTTACTTTTTGAGGATTTAACATTTTAAATAATTGGAAGGGTCATGGAGTACCACGTTCTCCTTCACCCTATGGGCTATCTGGTACATGAGGAATCAACTTATCCATAATAAATATCTTGACCTTAGTATTAGAGGTGCTCAAATTAGCCATAACTCTGTCGTCAATATTAGATGGCATCCTCCTCCATCAGGTTTCATTAAACTTAACACTGATGGTTCTGCTTTATCCAACCCAGGCCAGTCAGGTGCAGGTGGGGTCTTCAGAGATGAGTTTGGAAATTGGATGTGGTTTTTCTCGAAAAGTTGGCCTCTCTACCAGCCTTTCAGCTGAAATGTGGGCTATTCCAGATGGCCTTAAGATTGCTATTGACAAAGGATTCTATAATCTCATCCTTAAAACTGATTGTAAAGTTGCTGTTCTACTGTTAAATTCTGCAAATTCTCAATTTCACTCACTTGGTACTTTAATTTCTGACTGCAGAAACCTTCTAGCCCTATTCCATGAGGTGGAGGTCCACCATGTTTTGCGAGAGGCCAACTCTGCTGCTGATTGCCTGGCCAAAATGGGAGCCCACTCTGACTCTCCTTTTGTTATGTTCGATGAATGTCCTACTGCACTTGGGTTTATTTTGTATGCTGATGTTATTGGGACTACTATGCCCAGAACTATTGTAACCCATTGATCATCTATTTATATCTCTATTTTACCAAAATAAAAAATAAAAAAAAAAACATTTTAAACAATCAGTAGTCTTCGAAAAGGAAAAATGGTTACTTTTCTGTGTGCACAAAAAGCACACAGAAATGGGGCCCCAGTCAGGACATCAAAGCATAGGACGGTGACTTGGCAAGTACATCAACACCAGCATATCAACATCACACAAGG